GCTCTCTGCTCAGCAGGGAGCCTCCTTCTCCCTCTGCTGCTCCTCCTCCTTGTGCTCTCTCTCTGTCAAATAAATAAAATCTTGAAAAAAAAAATGTAAAAACAACAAAAAGCAATCAATGTAGTTCATTATATGGATAGATGAAGGAAGGAAAACCAGATGAATCTCTCAGTAGATAAAGACAAAATCCAGCATCCATTCCTGTTAGAAACTCTCAGCAAAGTAAGAATAGAAGGGAATTTATTCTACCTGGTTAAGGGTATCTATGAAAAATGGACCTCCAGCATCAGACTTAATGGTGGAAGACTGGGTGCTTTCCTCCTAAGATTAGGAACCAGGCAGGGGTGTCTGCTCATAATCACTTCTATTCAACACTGAGCTGGAAGTTCTAGCCAATTTATTGAGGCAAGAAAAAGAAATAAAAGGTATCCCTATTAGAAAGGAAAAAGTAAAATTGCCATTATTCACTGGTGACGTGATTACCTACATAATCTATTATGATTTTATTATGATTATAAAATCCTGCAGAATCTATAAAAACTATAATCGAGGCTTAAGGAAGTTGTAGGATATAAGACTAATATACAAAAATCAATTGTGTTACTAATACGGCTGGAAAATTACAAAAAACCTTTTATAATAGCATCACAAAGTATGAAATGGAATACATTTGCTAGAGTGTAAGACTTTTGCACTGAAGACTCTTAAAACATCACTGAGAAAACTTTTAAAAGACCAAAATAAATGGAGATACCTTGTGTCTGTGGGTCAGAAAAAATATGGTGAAGAGGTCATGTCTCCTCAAAATGATGTATAGCTTCCAATCAAAATCTCAGCACACTTCCTCTCTTCATAAATATATACATAATTATATACTCTACAGTTTAGAAATAAGTTACTCTATTCTAAAATTTATAAGGAAAGTTAAAAAGACCTATGATGTGGGAAACAAAGGCAGAAGAAAAATTATAAAATATCCTTATTGCCTACAGCCCATTACAAGTCCTTGAAACAGGCAGAGTGACATTCCTCTAGGGACTCAACTGCCTCAATGTTAATACTTTGCTAAGGGCAAAAGACAATCCTAGCACACCCCCCCACCCCAGGATCCTGTAAGTCTACTTTAACATATAAAAATTCCTTCAGAAATTTCCTTTATCTCTAAACCCCCCAAGATACGTATTATTTATCTCTAAACCCCCCAAGTTGCGTGTTGGCAATCATCCCCCCCAAACATATGGCCCACCGATATACATCTCAAGGGTCTCATGACTTAGGTTTTATTAGACGGTCATAAATGACCTTTTCCCAACAATAGTTAACCCCCTCAAGGTCCTGGAAACCTCGCTTCCAAATTCCTTAGAGACTTAAACTGTAACCCCCTCCCAACTTGAAAGTACATAATGGGCCACTCCTCATGACCCCGGTGTAGCTCCTCCTGCCCACGGGTCCTGTCCCTGCGCTTTCATAAAATCACCTTTTTGCACCAAAGACGTCTCAAGAATTCTTTCTTGGCCATCGGCTTTGAACCCTAATGTTCTATCTACATCAACCTGTAGTTAAAATAACTCACAAAAAAGAAGAAAAAAGTTGTAGGAATTACACTGATCACATGACTTAGTACTATAAAGCTACATCAACCAAGACATTGTGTGTGGTATTGATATATAGATGACATATCAATGAAAACCAGTGCAGAAACAGACCTACACTTACATGTATATTCAGTTGATTTTTGACCAAGGTGTTTTTGGGGGAAGAGGTGATCTTTCCAAAAAAAGGTGCTGGAACAATTGGATAGCCATATGCAAATAAATGAACCTCAGCTCTTACTTCGTACCCTATGCCAAAATAACTCAAAATTGGTCAAGATGTAAATGTAAATATAAAAGCAGAAACTATATAAAAGAAAACACAGAAGAAAATGCTAAAGACTTTGATTTTGGAAAAATGTCTTAAATACAGCACAGTGAGCACAAACTGTAAAAGACTAGTCAGGCTTCATCAAAATGAAAAAGTTTGCTTTTCAAAATACACTGTTAAGAAAATGAAAAGACAAGCCATGGACTTGGAGAAAGTATTTGTAGAACATCCAACCAAAGACTTGTGCCTAGAAAACAACAAAAAAAAATCCCTTCCAACTACATAGGCAGGACCTAACCCCATTAAAAAGTGCTAAAAGATCTGAACAAACACTTGAGCAAAGAAGATATGTCATACTCACCATCGTTAGTCTAGTGAAGTGCAAGTTAAAGTCATGGTGAGAGGCACCTGGGTGGCTCAGTCGTTAAGCATCTGCCTAGAAAAACACATTTCGTAATTCAGATGTGTGGGTTTTTAAGAAAGTTTTATTTATGGATAATACATGCATGTAGTTTTAAGGTCAGAACATAAAAGAAAATCAGTAAAAACTCTCCTTTCCGCTTCTGTTCTCTGACCAGTACACCGTGCTCTCCCCTACCCCATGAACATATAAGCAAATACAAACATATGCTTACTTTCCCCCCATTTTCCTCAAAAGGTCGCTTACTTTAAAAATAATGGTCTGGGCCTTGCCGCCATCATGAACGACACAGTAACTATCCGGACCAGCAAGTTCATGACTAACTGACTACTTCAGCGGAAACAGATGGTCATTGATGTTCTTCACCCTGGAAAGGCAACGGTACCTAAGACAGAAATTCGGGAAAAACTAGCCAAAATGTACAAGACCACACCAGATGTCATATTTGTGTTTGGATTCAGAACCCATTTTGGTGGTGGCAGGACAACCGGCTTTGGCATGATTTATGATTCTTTGGATTATGCAAAGAAAAATGAACCCAAACACAGACTTGCAAGACATGGCCTGTATGAGAAGAAAAAGACATCAAGAAAACAGTGAAAGGAACGTAAGAACAGAATGAAGAAAATCAGGGGGACTGCAAAAGCCAACGTTGGTGCTGGCAAAAAGTGAGCTGGAGATTGGACAACAGAAGGAGTAAAGATGCTGCAGTGGCTTTATCTGTGGTGGTTGTGCAGATTTTTCATGAGAGGATCAATAAACTAAGAATGTTAAAAAAATAAATAAATAAAAATAATGGTCTGCTTTATGCTTTCCTTTACCTTTAACATACCTTGAAGATATTACTAGAGCACCCTTGTATGTATGTTATATTACATACACGTGTGAGAATGTATGTCTGTGATCAATTCTTGGAGTGGAATTTCTAGGTCAGAGGGTATATGCATATGTAATTTTCATACATATCAAATTGCCCTCTGACGTACATACCTCAGGTCATGGTCCCAGGGTCCTGGCGTTGAGCCCTGCATCGGGCTCTCTGCTAGGCAGGAAGTCTGCTTCTCCCTCTCCCACTCCCCCTACTTATGTTCCCTCTCTCAATGTCTCTCTCTCTCTAATAAATAAATAAAATCTTTAAAAAAATTATTTAAAAAATATAAAGTCATGGTGAGAACACAGCACTCCCACTGAAATGGCTAGAATTAAAAAGGTTTATTAATTAAAACCCCAGTTTTGGCTAGGATGTGGAAGAACTGGAACTCTGATAGGCCACTGGTAGGAATGTAAAGAGGAACCACTTTAGAAGATGAGTTGGCAGTTTCTTAAAAGGGTAAACCAACCCCTACCATTCCACTTTTGGGTGAAATGCAAGTGCACGTCCGCATATGACTACCTGCAGCCTTATTTGTTGTAGCACAAAATGAGAAGCCACCTCTTTTGCCTCTTTCGTAAGGAAGGTGTTTAGTTTTTGTCTCTTCCTCCTCAGGCCTTTTTATATGTTTGTGCACCAAAATTCTTATCTCACCAAATGGGTTGAATGGCTGGTGTCTTTCTGCCATTGCAGAAGAGAACCCCTTCTCCTTGTTGCAGAATGGGAAGATTGGATTCTAGCCCTAACTCTGACACCCTGGGCCAACCAGGACCTCGGAGTTCTTAACTGCCAAATGAAAGGCTTAAGTTATATTTATTCATTCACGAATATTTTTGACCACCTGACATGTGCCCAGCACTCTTTTGGGTACTGGTAACACAATGAAAATCGGCTACAGTCCCTGCCCTCATGGAACCAGTTATCTAATAACCTATGTTGTGGCAGACACGGTCTTCAGTTTCAGGAGCTGTGGCCTACTGTCTTAATCTCAAGGAATTTATGAATTAGTAAGGAAGGGAGACCAACATAACAGAACTACTGTTGTAAGGAATGTTATGAAGGAAACCGTTCGAGGGGAGACCCACCCTCAGCAGGGCCTGCAGGGGAGGCCTCTCGGTGGAGTGGCACTTGAGCTGACATCCAAAGGAAGAAAGAGAGTGCTGTCATTTGCCTTCACTGTCTCTTCTCTCAGAAGTCCAGACTGAATGGAAGACAGTGATTTGATTTCTTCGAATGTAGGCACCTCTAACTGTGAGCACTTTCACGGGGCCCTCTGTTCCTTGCCTCACACCTTCACAGTGTTTCATTGTCTTGTTCAGGAACTCTAAGTGCTAATAAATTAAACAGATCTAACATTTGAAATTCTGTTTTAAAAAGAATATTTAATTTGTTTTTGTTTTGTTTTCTTTGCTGAGTTAGAGTTACATTGTAGGTTATCTGAATTTTGGTAAGAGTAATAACACTCATCTAGATCATTGGTTTCCATTACAGGCCTGAATGAGTTCTCAGGTTCATGTGCTGACTGAATGTCACCTAATAGAAAATAATATCTCACACAGGAATGTTATATATTTTGAATGTACATAGATGCTGTTGTATTTAATAAAATGACAATTCATTTAATAATGTTACTGAATTCTTAGTTCAGCTAGTAACAGCTCAACATTTCCTCAGTGGTTCCATTGTTTTAGATGACCGCTGATTTTTGATGGCATGTTAGCTTCATTTTGTGTTCTATCAAATTTTTCAAAGTAGCTTGGTCTAGAGATCTGGAGAACGTAACAAAAGACTGCATATACTACAGGTGTCTACGTGAATATAATAAAAATAATCTTTCTCTTATAGATATTCCTTTAAGGACCAACCTGCCACCACCATTCAGAAATTATAAATATGGTAACTAATTTTACTTATTATTTAAAAACGTATATTAATATAATTTTACGTTAGTTTTATGTTGATAGCAATTTGAATTTGGTTTTCAAAAATGAGTTTACTATCTGTAAGTAAAAACCAATATGGAAATTTATTTAGGAATATAGGAATCCTGGTGTATCAGTGAAGTAAATTGTAATAGTGTATGGAAGTGGCCTATTTATGAGGAACAAATAACATGTTTGGCAAACGATGTCTAAAATGAATTTCTTTGGTAACCAGGAAAGAAAAATGATTTCAGACTAGGAATTAAAAGAAGAGATTAAACATTTTAAATGCCAATAACTTAAGCATAGTATATAGTAATTTTGCATATTGCAGGGGTTGATTAAACAATGCAGTAATGAGGCAGGAAGTTGGGTTTCATTATTTGGTATAAAGATGGTATGGTTATTAACCTTCAGCATAGTGACACTCAGCAAACTTTGAGTTTGAGACCTCACTTGAAAATTATGATGCATCTAATTTCTGTTAATTGGTACAGACATTTTTTGAAGTATAAATTTTTTATTACCTTAGATCATTTTTTGGAGTGGCTTTTAATTCTGTTCCCATTTGGTAGAGCAACTTATGACCTAAAATACTTTGAAATCACAATCTTCACCGTGTGTATGCATTTTAATATCCAGAGACTAATTGTGAGGTCATAAGGGGTAGTCAAACAGAAGTTGAAGGCACTGAGTGGAAAGTACTTTGATTTATTGGGCTTAAAGAATTTACATACTAAATATTGAATAAGAGAAAGGAATAAAAAGCACAGTTAAGTAAATACAAAACTTCTCAATTCTGGCTTTCGTGGCTTTCAGAGTATAATGACTTGCAATATAACCTTAAACTTGAATCAACCTACAGATGCCATTTCCTTTTTGCATGGTGTGTGTGTGTGTGTGTGTGTGTGCACGCACGCACGTGCATGCATATGCATACATATTCCAACTTGTGTTCCATATAAGTCATTTTGAAAGATAAGTTTTAGATACTGAATGCATTAGAATATCTGACTGTTAATCATCACGGTGGTAGATAATGTACCTCTTATATTGTCCCACCTTATTAACACTGTTTTGTCTTAGGATTTGTATACTATTCAGGTGAATTGGCAGAAGAAATGAACACATTTAACTGTGAGATGAGAAATTAGAGAACCACTGGGGTTTTGATAGACTTTTCAGTGACCCAGTCTGGGTTTGGCTCTGTAACAATCTGCTGCTTTGTGTTCAAAAAGGAAGGCCAAACGTTACTTTCTCACCTGCCCTTGTCCTCCAATATTGCTACCTGCTCTGTGGGAATAGAACACATTGGGTGTTGGGGAGTGGAAAGGGTCTAGAGTCAGATTTCAGCTTTGTTGGTTGTTGTCCCCATGCCCTTGGGCAAAGGGCTGGCTCGCTGGCCAGACCACGGAGAGTCTGAGAGTTCTTAGGGCCCCTCCTCCTATCTAATTGACATCTACATCTATGACGGATTTATCCCGACCAGACTGTGTTCTAAAGCACATTGGATGTGGTCTTATTTTTAAATCCTGATCACCTAGACACTGTGCCTGTGTACATGACATGTACAGTGTCATGTGTACAGTAACTATGGGTGGCTATGCAGTGTGGAGTTGCTGATACTGTTTATTTCATAAGGCTGTGTGTGATTAAACCACACTTGTGTGAACACGTCAAATGCACCACAAATATATTTTTACTTTTTATTTTTTTTAAGATTTTATTTATTCATTTGAAAGAGACAGAGCACAAGCAGGGGGAGTGGCAGGCAGAGGGAGAAGCAGGCTCCCCGCTGAGCAAGGAACCTGTCGGTGGGGCCTAGGACCTGGAGATTGTGACCTGAGCCGAAGGCAGACGCTTAACCGCTTAACCGACTGAACCACCTAGGTGCCCCTATTCTTTTTATTTTTATGAGGTTACTTTCCTCAAGGAATTTGCACTTCAGGTACAATACCCACAGATGTTGTTTCTGTTAGTAATGAAGATTTTTTTTTTTTAAAGAAGTAAAAACAAGTGAAAGAGATTATTCAGCAAGGAAAAGGACATTATTAGTACAATATCTTTTGCTAGCTAGTTGTTTCCCTGACCCTCTTACCAAGTCTTACTAGTTTCTGTTGGAGGGAAAAATCTGAAAATTTCTGTTCAAATAATTTCTTATTCTGCTAAAAAAAAATGTGGCTTTCTTATTGTGGGTTTGCAGGACCCATTAGAGCAAGGATATTTCTAATAAAGGCTCATTAGCAAAATATGTAGAACATGACTAATATTTCGTAAGGTCAAACCACAGTTTTGCTTGTTGGTTGTAACAGACTTTAAGTAGGATCCTTTTAGTTAAAATACTGGCTTTTCTAACTTGTCTATAATAATAAACCAATATCTATCTATAATGAGAAAAAGGTAATAGGTAACTCAGAATAATAGATAATCCAAAAGCCAATTTGTTTATTTTCTTGCATACATTCTGAGCTTATTTTTAGCAATTGTGGTGTATTTACATTCCTAATATGCATTTTTTCACCTAGATTAGATTTATTTTTAGTTCTTAACGGTACATAGTTGCAGTCCTAGGATTAGGCTGACCTTGTGTTAAAAATTGCAATAGATAATTGAAAGTTGACTATTTAAAATAATGGGTAATTCAGTGCTGGTTCTTAACTGGGTAGCTATCCTATTCTTTCGTATTATTAGAACAGAGTTAAATCAGGGCCTGTTTTTTAAGTAGATCCTTTCATTTCATTTTACTATTGGAATTCTTTATTGAATCAAATGGCATGATTGATAGAAATGAATTTTAGTTTAAGGTTAAGAGTTTGTCCAGATATAATAATACATGTAATCATAATACATTAGTTGGATGGTTAGACAAAACTGAAGAATTGGAAACTTTCTGACTTGAATCCCATTAAATGCTGAGCCCCTGCTATAATTAAGAGCTCACTGATGCAGAGTCGGACTTCACCGAATGTGGAGAAATGACTTACTGGAAAAGCACAGCATAGCCTGACATCAAGATAAACAGATTAAGGAGCAAAGGAGGATTGAATAAAGCGGTTAGATGGTGTGAGCCTGTGCAGTGTTTGAAAACCAGGAGGCAAATACTGACATTCTTTGGGCATTAGCAGCCCTGCTCACATAACCAGTGAGCCTGAGCTCAGAGAGTGGTAGCAAGTTGTCAGGATAATCATTTGACTCCTGTCACTATATGTATTCTGAGAGATTACTAGGTTTTTTTGAACTGCTTATGTTAATGTCTGACATTTTTTACATTATTTGCTAATTATAGCCTTTTGCAACTCCAAAAAACAGGATCGAGTAATATCCACCTGTCTTCTATTCTAAGGGAAAATGTGCCAAGTTCATTGCAGGTTATGGCACCGAGTTGTGTGTGTCAAAGATGAAGGCTTTCAGATATCTTTAAACAGCAGTGACCTTTAAGGTGATGATATATAAAAGTAATTTTTTTTTTTTTTACTGTATACTAGATTTTTAAGTGAATGGATCATAAGGCAAGGACTTAAGTTTCTCAATTTCATAGCTGCACCCTCCTGTTTCATATTATTCAAATGAAGTTTTAAAATAATCTTTTATGAAGACTTCTTTTTTCTTTCAGATAAACTAAAGATTGTTCATCAAGCACATAAGGCAAAGGTACGTTTCATATGTACAGTAGTATCTGGCACATAGCGAGTAATCACTGTTGGCTGTCTCAGTGAATAAATGAATGAACACATGTACTTCTAAGATATTTCCCATTATAATAGCATTTTTTATTTTGTAAGTACCCTTTCTACAGCCATTAAGGAAAAAAAAAACCCCACTAAGCCCTTGTTAGTAGTAGATCCTTTAAAAAAGTGTTAATTTTTTAAAAAGTGTGCATGTTCTATATCAAGCAAATATTTAACGTAAAAATTAAATTTGCAAAAAAATGGTTTTTGAAGTTACTAATTCACAGGCGACAGCCATACCCTCATGCCATTTTCTTTGTAATCTCTGGTATACAGTTATTTGAAAGCTGATTGAGTTTATGGTGGGTATCTAGGACTAGAGAAGACAATGAAATCAGGTGAATTAAAAAATAAATGCTTGGGGCACCTGGGTGGCTCATTTGGTTAAGCATCTGCCTTTGGCTCAGGTCACGATCTCAGAGTCCTGGGATTGAGCCCTACATTAGGCTTCCTGCTCAGTGGGGAGTCTTCAAAATGCTAGTGAGGGTCATTCAGTTGTCCACACTCATTGAACTGAACTCCCCTTAAGATCTGTGCATTTTATTTATATGAAATTCTACCTGAATTTTTTTTTTTTTTTTTAAATTTTTTTTTTTTTAGAGAGTGAGAGAGAGAGAAGAGAGCCCCAGAGGGGGTAGGGTCAGAGGGAGAGGCAGACTCCCCGCCGAGCAGGGAGCCCGATGCGGGACTCGATCCCGGGACTCCAGGATCATGACCTGAGCCGGAGGCAGCCGCTTAACCGACTGAGCCACCCAGGCGCCCCGAAATTCTACCTGAATTTCACAAAACAATAGACATGCCAAAAGGGATCCAACATAAGACTTAAATGGAAATGCTTAGGGTATTTGGATGGGAAGATGCAACAGTATGAAGATGTCCATTTTTTCTTAGTTTACAAATTTAATGCCACCCCATATATATATATATGAATGAAAGAAGCTGATTATAAAACTAATATGCAAAAAATAAATAAGAATAGTTGGGAAAAGGAAGAAAAAGGGGAGTGACTAGCCCTGACATGTATTACCCATATTATTAAACTCTAGTAATTAAAACAGTGTGGTGCTGCCATATGAACTCTTAGGTCAATGGCACAGAATTAAAAGTCCAAAAATTGACCCAAATATATATCAGAATTTAGTATATAGTAAATATGACATTTTAAAGCTATGGAGAAAACATGAGGATTCAGTAAGTGTTACTGGGACAATTGGGAGACATCCAGAAAACAGTGAATTGAATCCATATCTTTTTTTTTTATGCCAAAATAAATACCCACTGGATTAATGACTTAAATGTGAAAATAAAGCTCACAGGTGAGGACAGAGGTGAAACCAACTGAACATGAGTAGATCATTTGTTCAAGCTGGGTGATGGGTGCGTGGAGGGTTCATTGTGCTGTTCTGTATGTTTGAAATTCTTCATAATTAAAAGCTTTAAAAAAATGAAATTGACAAAAACATTTGAAAAGAATGGGGAATTTTAAAATTAATCTTAGAGTGAAGGTCTTTCTAAGTGTGGTAGAAAACCCAGAAACCATAAAAAATTGATAATTTTACTTTAAACATTTAGCACCTTTTTCTAGGAAAAAAAACACTAAAAAATCGAGAAACAAGTGAAAATGGGGAAAATTTTCTAACTTATATTACAGAAAAGGCCTGATTTTCTTAGTATATGATGCTATTTTACAATTCCATTTAAAAAATTATCCTTCGGGGGCACCTGGGTGGCTCAGTCATTAAGCGTCTGCCTTCGGCTCAGGTCATGATCCTAGGGTCCTGGGATCGAGCCCCGCATCGGGCTCCCTGCTCAGCGGGAAGCCTGCTTCTCCCTCTCCCACTCCCCCTGCTTGTGTTCCCTCTCTTGCTGTCTCTCTCTCTGTCAAATAAAAAAAAAAAAATCTTTAAAAAAATAAAAAAATAAAAAATTATCCTTTGAGTCCATTAAAAAACAAAATAAACTTGACTCAAAATAAATGCAAATTCAGATTACACTTACTCTCCATCTGTTAGGTTGGCAAGGATCAGATGGTTTTGATAATATACCATGTCAGTGATGCTCTGGGGACTAGGTACTCTCAGTGATTGGTAGCGTTCCTGTAAAGTGGTACAGACTCTGGAGCATCATTTAGCAATATCTGCCAAAATAAAATTGCACGTGCTCTCTGACCTAACGATTCTACTTCTAGGAACTTATCTTACACATAAAACTCATACAAAGGCAAAATGATACATGTTATGAGGATATTTGTTGCAGAGTTGTTTATGGTAGCAAGAGATGGAAACAACCTGAATGTCCATCCCTGGGGACAGTGTGTGTGTGTGTCCCTTCAGTGGAATAGCCCATGGCCTTGATAAATTGAGGCAGCTCGTATTACTGATTTTGAATGATTTTAAGCTATATTTTAAGAGGAAAAAGTCATGTGTTAGAATATAGCATACAGTATGCTGTTATGTGTTTGGAAAAGTTTACCTGCACATTTCTGCCTGCATGAACGTGTACAGAGACAGCCTCTGGAAGGATACGCCAGAATTAGTGTAAGTCTCTGGAAGGAAACTAGACTACCTGGTAGATAGGGGTTGAGAGGAGACTTACTTTTCTCTCCTTCCCTATGTGCTTGGAGAATTTTGTATCATGAGTATATGCTACCTATTCTTTTTTTTTTTTTAAAGATTTTTTTATTTATTTGACAGAGAGAGAGACAGCTAGAGAGGGAACACAAGTAGGGGGAGTGGGAGAGGGAGAAGCAGGCTTCCTGCTGAGCAGGGAGCCTGATGCGGGACTCGATCCAAGGACCTTGGGATCATGACCTGAGCCAAAGGCAGATGCTTAATGACCGAGCCACCCAGGTGCCCCTATGTGCTACCTATTCTAAAATGATTTTTTTAAAAAAGATTTTATTGATTAATTTGACAGAGCGCAAGAGAGCACAAGCAGGGGGAGCGGTAGGCAGCGGAAGAAGGAGAAGCAGGCTCCCTGCCGAGCAGGGAGCCCCACTCAGGGCTCAATCCCAGGACCCAGGGATCATGACCTGAGCCAAAGGCAGATGCTCAACTGACTGGGCCACCCAGGCGCCCCTAAAATGATTTTTTTAAGATAACATTCCCTCCCCTTTAATCTGTGTACTCTGGAGGTGAAGCCCTGCGCTCTCTAGTGGGTGAAGTTGTGGACTGTGGAGCATGGCTTCTGGGCCTTCTATTTTAGCTGCTGGAGTGGCCTTTCTGTTCTCTCTTAGCCACATTCTAGAAATAGATTATGTTGCTAAGCAGCTGCATTCTGGTTGACAGGTGGTACTGTGTGTCCAACTAGTGGTCACTTCTATGTGCTTTTTAAGGGCAGATATCAACTCAAAATCTTCTCCTATATTATAATGTTTAACTGGATTTGTAAGTTTCATTGGAGGGCCAACTCATCCACTCCCACCCCAAACCTCATAGAGAAAGGTTACAGTCGGTATGACATGGGGTCAAGCTAATATGACATGGGATCAAGTGTTTACTAGGTAGAGCAAGGTTTTTAGATACGTGGACTTTCGGCCATACAGGTAAACTTGCTTTTCTCCGAAGTCAGGCTGGTCAGAGCTCAGGGGCCTCAGTTCCGTGTACTCTGGGGTCTGTTTCTTTTTCTTTCTCTCTCTCTCTTTTTAAAGATTTTCCTTATTTATTTGAGATGGAGCATGAGTGGGGGTGGGGGTTGGGGGAAGAGGCAGAGGGAGAAGCAGACTCCCCGCTGAGCAGGGAGCCCAAATGGGGCTCAGTCCCAGGACCCCGGGATTATGACCTGAGCTGAAGGCAGGCACTTAACCGACTGAGCCACCCAGGCACCCCCCTCTGGGTCTGTTTCTTAACCTCTCTGACTCTTGGAATATTGTGAGGATGAGATGACAGTGACGGTGGTGAGGACAACAGCCACAGAACAGTGGCAGCTAACATGGAGAGGCCTTGCTCTGTGACTGACACTCCCCTACGGTTTTCTGTACTTCATCTCATTTCATCCTCACCACAGGGCGAAAGAGAAGATTCATCCCCCCCCACCTTTTTTTTTTTTTCTTTTTTTTTAGAATGAGAGATTGAGGGAGCAGGGTGTGGGGAGGGAGAGAGAGAGAGTCTTAAGCAGGCTCCACACCCAGCGCGGAGCCTGACATGGGGCTCCATCTCACGACCCTGAGATCATGACCTGAGCCAAAATCAAGAGTTGGATGCTAAACCAACTGAGCCACCCAGGTCCCCTCCCCGTTTTTTTTATAGAGGAGGAAACTGAGTCTGGGAAAGGCTGTGTAGTTTGTGGAGAACACGGAGCGGGGCATCAGTGGAACCCAAATTTTCATCCAGACCTGGCCCCAGAGCTCCATGCTTAGGGCGTTGTCTCCCCAGCACTTACAGAGTGTGCTCACACGGTAGGTGTTCACATCCATTTGCTTCTGCCCTGATGATGACGGGAACAGCAGGTGACTTTGGTTATTGCTGTGACCCAGAGTAACAATTCTGTGTCTTCGAGAAGCCTTCACCAAATATGAAGCACATATGGGTACCGATGAGATGCAGGTTTTCTTTCTTCCTAGACGAACGAGCTTGTGTTGAGTCTGGAAGACGACGACACACTCATGCTGGAAGAAGACAGCACGCTGCGTGCCGGTGGAATCGGTGAGAAAGAGCGCCCCGTGGTGCTGGACGGGCGCTCACTTCCCCAGCCTTTCTGCCAACGCCCGGCTGATTATGTTTGGATAACTCACCGCAAAGTAAATGCTACCCTGGGTGCTCTTTACACTCCCTGATAATTATTCAGAGGAGGAGGATGAGAATGATGTGTGTTCAGAGTGTTTGACTGAGGGCAGGCGATATCTGCTCTCCAAATGTGCAGAATGCAAATAGTTCTTTTCTGCAGGTATGCTCAGAATTCTGCTGAGGGTTGTTTTAAGTGATTGACAGGTTATTACGCACTTAATAACCTACTTACTCTTATCAGCGTCATTTGAACTGACGGTTTGAGAGAAATGGACCTGGTAGAACTAATGTGGAATAATGAAGTGAGATGTTGTTTGTATAACGTGTAGTGTGGTTTCTAATAGTCCTCCAGATCACTCAGGGCCCGCCGAGTCGTGGAATTTCAAATAGGAGCCTAGCATGTGTGCTTGAAAGGGGGCCTAAATTAGCTTTTCAGCCTAGAATGTGGATGTAGTGCTATTTTAAAGAAATGCCATGTGACGTGTTTTGTGACCATTAGATGTCACTCTGATTCTGTGTATGTACACCTTAAGGTTATCTGGCAATGGGAGTGAAGATTTTCAGAGAGGTTGGAGCTATTGAAGGTGCTGTGCCTCTGACATACCTTTGTGGTCTGTGACTCTAAGGAAACAGTCCAAATCACACTTTATAATTATCCAGACACACTGCTTAAGGGGCACGCTAAGTGAGGTCCGTGTTAGGAAGCCTTACTTTTTTTTTTTTTTTGACAGGTGTTCCATTGAGTTATTTTAAGGACATATGTCAGGAATTCAGTATTGAGTGACATGTGTGGCTAAAGTGAGTTCCTGACTGGTCTTCTAATTTAAATAGGATTCTAAATTACATGTTACAAAATCTTCGACTTACTTTCCTTGTTTGTCTACACTATTGGCTACATTTAGTGTCATTTCATATTATAAATATGTAAGGTTGCTATTGTTTGAAAACAGTTTTTATTTTGGCATTTATTTCCTCAAATGCTGTTATATTATTATAGCAAGTGGCACCTGTGTTACTGAGGCATGGGGCACCTAGAAGCTAGCCCCGCTTGTTGTTAAAACATAAAGCTATAATTATTATAACAGACTGGTTTGGTATTGATGTAGGGATTGAAACCTCTATAGAAAAGATAAGAAACAAACTAAAAAAAAGTAAGATCTCCCAATATGATAAAGTTTTGACCTCTCAAATAAGTGGGGTAAGAATGAATTAGCCGGAAAATGATGTTGGGCCCATTGCCAAAGTATTTGGGAAAATAAAATTTTAAATCCTATCTCAACCTTTATTCCAAAATAAATTGTAGATTGATTATATGTCATAATGTAAAACACTTTTTTATTATTTTTAAAAAAAATTTTTTAAAGATTTTATTTGTTTATTTATTTGAGAGAGAGAGAGCACGAGCAGGGCAGAGGGAGAGGGAGAAGCAGACTTGCCGCTGAGCAGGGAGCCCAACATGGGGCTCAGTCCCAGGACCCTGAGATCATGACCTGGGCTGAAGGCAGACGCTTAACCGACTGAGCCACCCAGGCGCCCCTAAAAAAATTGTTTTTAAATAAAATGTAGCTTAGGAGTTTCATAATCTTGGGGAGAAAAGCTCTTCAAGCATGACCTTGAAGGCAGAGCCATAGAGCGGGGAGAAATGATAGTTTTGTCCGCGTAAAAACTAAAAAATGTAAACAGAGTTAAAGGAGAAGCACTAAACTATGAAAAAGATACTTCATATATGACAAAAGGTATTAGCCTGAATTTATAAAAAGCTCTTATAATTAGCTTGGAAAAATACAAGAAATCTTACTGATAGAAGAAATAGCTAACATATGAAAAATAGTTTAGCCTTACGAGTCCGGAGAGAAATGCACATGAAGATAGATGCTATTTTATGTAGCATACTAGTCTAGTGGTTAAGAATTAGAGACCGGAGCCAGAGGGCGTGGGTTTACAACCCGATTCTGCCACTTACTGGCTGGGTGACCTTGGATAAGCAGTAATTTCAAAACTAACAGACGTGAAGAAAGTGGTAGTATCCAAGAGTGTTGTGAAGTGGATACTCTCTGGTACTACTATTGGGAATGTATATTACCTCTAACTTCCTGTAGGTCAATTTGGCCAGTAAGACTTTGTCACTCTTAACTTCCTGTTGCGTCTGTTACCAGGCCAACAGGAGTATGCTTCCTTAAGCTCCGTGACTCCCCCGAGGTTGAGATGTGCCTTCAATGGGGTGGTGGGGTTCTCTCACCTTCCCCATTTGTGAATCACTGATGTAGAGCTTTCTTTATTGCATGGAAGTAGAATATATTGTGTGATGCCATTATTGTTTATAAATGTATATATTACATGTCTGTATGTGTATATGAAGAAAAAATCATGTAACAAAATTGTAGAAATGGTTCTCTGGCCGGTGGCACTGCAAGCATTTGATTTTTTTTTTTTCCCTCTAGGTATTATCTAATTGTTCTCGTAATTTAAAATTTTTCTACAGTTCCCATGTAAATTAAGGAACCAATTTTAAAGGATAGACTTCTAAAGTTGGAGAAAATTGGTTTGAATGAGGGCTCTGTATTTTACTTATTTTGTGGCCGTTCATAAGCCATTTAGTGTTTTTGAACTTCTGTTTTAATTCATGTAAAACAAAACAGAAACCACTGAACCTGTTTCAGAGCGTTGTCCTGAGAGTTGACTGAGAAAAGCCTATGAAAACTTCTGGAACAATGCATTTTACTTATTTTGTGGCCATTCATAAGCCATTTAGTGTTTTTGAACTTCTGTTTTGATTCCTGTAAGATAAAACAGAAACCATTGAACCTGTTTCAGAGCGTTGTCCTAAGAGTTGAATGAGAAAAGCCTATGAAAATATCTGGAACGATGCAGGTAGAGACCCTCAGAAACACGTATTTGGAAGCCATTTTAGAGAAGGCAATTAGTAAATGTTTTGAATTTATTAAAATACTGAGTTGTTGGCTTCACTGTCATTTTGAGACTCATGTAATGAACCACCTGTAAAGGTAAGAATCAGATCCATCTCTCTGTCATTCTTGTTGTAAGGCCATGGGTCTTTGATGAGCATCAGATTCTTGTCACAAGTTCCCCACTAGTTCCAGGGTGGTCCTGGAACCTCACACTGCCTGCCAGCCCTGGCAAGCCCACAGTCCTGGTCTGGGGTGACTCCTGGCCTGGCTGGAACGGTTTCCTGTCCGTGTCACCTGGAGCCACCATGCTGTGCTCTGGAGAAGCTTCACATCCACATGGGGAAGGAAGCGGTGGTCCTCTGGAGGCCACAGAAAATTCTGAGTGGGAGGAGAGTTGTAAAAATGATACCTGAAGTGTGTGATTTTTCTAGGGGATTTCCTCTCCCTCAGTGCCGTGTCTGGTTAGGTTTTTAAGTGGTTGAAGAGAAGAATTCCGAGTCCTCCCTCCCTTTTCCCCACTTGATCTTGCTCAGAGCTGTCACTCTGCCATCACAGTTGCCATGGGAATAAGGCCAATGTAACAAATTTATCATTATGACTTTTCTGCAGAATTCATGAAAGGAAGAGAAGGACTGTGAGCAGGGGGAAATTAGGGGAACAAACTTGTTTGAAGATATCTTTTCTCAGGGAGAAATTCTCCAGTTCCTGCCCCGGCCTTTTAACTGCATTGCGGATCCCAATTTTATATTCTGCGCCTGACGTCAGGGCACATTTTTGCTTCTGGACTCAGAGCTAAAAGACCTCAATAAAAAGATGTGCGGTTTTTTTTTTTGGAAGGAAGAAGAAAGCTTTACTTAGAATTGTTATTTGTAAATGTAAAGATTTTTTACCTTGTCATTAATGATTGTAGTTTTATGGACTCATTCCCCTAAGTGGTAAATTTGCATGTCAGTATTTTTGGGGTGGTGTTTTATCTCTTTCCTTTGGCTACATTCTACTACTATTATCTTTTGAATCCTCTTTCCTTAGGAAAGAAATGGTGGCAGGGTATCTCTTTTCAAGCCTGTTGTGTTTTACTGGAAATATTTTTTTTTTAAGATTTTATTTATTCATTTGAGACACAGAGATACAGAGAGAGAGAGAGAGAGAGAGAGAGAGAGAGAAAGCATGAGCAGGGAGAGAGGCAGAGGGAGAGGGAGAAGCAGGCTCCTCGCCGAGCCAGGAGCCCAATGTGGGGCTCAATCCCAGGACCCTGGGATCATCACCTGAGCCTAAGGCAGACGCTTAACCATCTGAGCCACCCAGGCGCCCCTACTGGAAATATTTTAAAATGAGATACAGCGGGCCAAACCCTAAGTGCTTTTCTGAGGGAAGAGTTTGCATTAAACTGGATCCTGTAATCATTCCAAAGCTCCCCTGTGGTCGGTTTTCATTTTATGTGTCAACTTATGTTGTCTGCCCACAACCAGAACCCTGACTTTGTGCCCAGCACCTTTTGATTATCTCAGATATACAGCTAATATTGCAGGATTCTTTGACTCTCACTTCTTTATCAGGATCGTGTTTGATTTGTGTTTCCTGAACATTCCAGGTGCCTTTCCCATCCTCTTTTGAGTAATAATATCTTAGGGCATACATGCTTTCCTCCCTTAATGGCATCTTACAGGGGCTGTTCTTTACCTTAAACATCAAAACAGTGGTAGTCTGGTATTCAAGAAGGTAGGTGGTGGGCCCAAGGAATTTGGGATTCCAGAACAAGGGGTCTGGATTGTTCTTCCCTTTTTACCCTCCCTTCATCACTGTGGGAATCCACAGGCCTGTGTCCAGTCTCTAAAAGGTCAGATTTATTTTACTATTTGTTCTCTTCAAACTGAACCTTGAAATCCTCTCTGCCCACTGATCTAAACAACAGATGCTTGAAGCAAATGTGAAATAAAGCACTGTGTTTGGGAACTCTTGGCTGGATCACTTTGGTGCAAACTTAGAAATATAACTCAGCTGTAAAAAAAATAAATATAAATATATAACTCAGCTGTGAGCATAGTTTTGAATGATTTGTAGTTTCAGATTTTATGAACCTTGGAAGGATAGGATATACTCCTGGATTAGGAGAGAAGGTAAAACTTTGTCGTTTTAGTCTCAAATTGCTGCAGAAACCAGACCTCATTCCTGTATTTTTTTTTTTTTTGGCCAATAACCTGTACTTATTATCACATTACAGCTTGCCTGATCATTAATTATCTGTACCACAGAGTCCATGTGCATGTCTCTGTCTCTCTTCTCAGACAGCAGTTGCTGTGCCTTATGCTACTTTGGTGCCGACTGGTACAGGCTAGGGAGTTCAAAACTATGCAATAAATCCTCATTGATAGGTGAGTTTTTGGAATAAATTAGTTAGGAGCTTAAGTATATTGGCTTGAATTTTTCTTGAGCTTTTACATTTAAAATTGGTTTTTCTTACATTCTTTTATTTAAAGTCATTTTCCTGTTAAAGGTGTGTATATATATGGAGCTGACCTGTTTGGACACGTTATAAAATTATTAATTTCAGGGGTGCCTGCGTGCCTCAGTCGGTTAAGCATCTGCCTTAGGCTCAGCTCAGGATTCCTGGGATCAAGCCCCCCCCACTCCTGCCCTTGTATTGGGTTCCCTGCTCAGCAGGGAGTCTGCTTCTCCCTCTCCCTCTGCCCCTGACTCATGCTTTCTCTCTCTCAAATAAAAAATAAAATCTTAAAAAAATTATTAATTTCATTTTCCCCAAAGTTTGAATGTCCTGGCTTGTGTTCATTGCATTAAACTTGAAAGTCATATTAAAATGGTGCACAGTATTTGGAGGGTTCTTACTTGATTTCATTTGATAGTAAGACAAAGGGATGAACAGGCAATGTATTTATTGGATTTTAGATTTTACATTCATTTCAGATTCACACGCCAAGGCACTCTGCACCTGAGTGCACTGCGCCTGCAGCACATTTAATTTAAAATCAGGTGCCCTAGGGGACTGGCACACAGTAGACTTCCTTGGGGTTCTTTGGAGCCATTTTAAGTAGAATTGGGGAAGCAAGAATTTAAGGGATAATGGTCGAAAGGGTGATGATGCAGAGGTCTTGAAAATCTTCTGTAATTTGTTTTCACTCTAATTGATAAGTAAATTCATGGTGTAAATACAGGACATCATTCTCAAACATTTTCAACAGCATTTTACAAATTTTAAAAAAGCATTCTATTTGGTTTGTTTGAGGACCACATTATTCAAGTTTAAAATACATTTTATGGGGCGCCTGGATGCCTCAGACGGTAAAATGTCTGTCTTTGGCTCAGGTCCTGGGATCAAGCTCCACTTCAGGCTCCCTGCTCAGTGGGGAGCCTGCTTCTCCCTCTCCCTCTGCCTGGGCTTCTCCTGCTTGTACACCCTCTCTCTCTGTCAAAAATAAATAAAATCTTTGAAAAAATTAAAAAAAATACATTTTACGTCTGACTTTTGAATGTTTAGAGTAACCCACTTTGAACTTGTGTGTTGTTTTCCAGTTTTTGAAGGGTGTAAATTTCATCAGCCTTCATGAAGCATTAGGAGTTGAACCTATTTGTCAGTCTTGTTTTGTTGTTGTTTTGAAAAAAGTATTCATCTGAAAATCTTTATCTTAGGGGACCTCATGTTGAGTGTGTATTGTGAGAGATGGTATATAAATACTTCAGATAAGTAATGAATTGATCTGTAAGTTAATTAGACCCAAGAAAACCTATGTGGCAAAACAAAAATGCTTTGTCAGTTCTTTCTTTACTTCAGCTTATCCTGAACCTGTTATTACCATACTGAGGAACTCTACGATGTATTTGTTTCTCAAAAGGGGTACAGATAAATGTCAATGCAGTAAGTGAAAATTGTAATTACAGTTAGTGTGTATTGAGCAAAGTGCTGCGTGGGCAAAGCGCTATGTAAAGTTCTGTATGTAAATAGCACATTGTAGATAAAACCTTGCGTTGTGATTTTAAGAACAGGGTGCTTTTAGCTCATTCTCCATTTGGAGGATGATTAGAATTACTTGCAAATGATATAGGTGTACCTTTGGGCTTGCTTCCCCTCAAAAAAGGAAACCCCGGGAGCTTTTTATATAAAGGAATAGATCTCAAAATTATCTTCTCTCTGAATATTGAGTTTTCTGAAGCCCCCCCCCCCAATCCCTCTTCAACATTTTACTGATTCCACGTGTGGAGCCTCTTAGCCATTCTTTTATTTATTTATTTTTATTTTTTAAAAGATTTTATTTATTTATTTGACAGAGAGAGACACAGCGAGAGAGGGAACACAAGCAGGGGGAGTGGGAGAGGGAGAAGCAGGCTTCCCACGGAGCCGGGAGCCCGATGTGGGCCTTGATCCCAGGACCCCGGGATCATGACCTGAGCCGAAGGCAGACGCTTAACGACTGAGCCACCCAGGCGCCCCTTAGCCATTCTTTTAAATGCTATTTTCATGTCAAATTCAGCTGTACAAACTTCTTGTTTGCCCAGGGTTCATTTGTTTCCAGCCTCTTCTCACTGATTCTCAGTTTGTCGCAGCCCTGTCTCCCCCTCACCGCCAGGCTCATTGTGCCGAGAGTTTGCAATCTGATTTTCATCAAGATTAATCTTCATTTAATCTTGAAGATGCACTGGGACTGGAATGAGGATCTGAAACTATGGGTGACTTTATTTTCTTCTTTCAGCATTTCTGTATTTTCTGTAATGAGCATGGGTAACTCATGATTGAGAAACAATAAATTTGATATTCTTAAAACCAGCAAAAACATTTTTTTTAACTGAAATGTCATGCTAAGCTCCTTAATTTCATTCTTTTGTGATAAATTCTAGTGATGAGATGAGTTTGGTAAACTAAGAGACCAGTGGTAATCCTTGGCATCTTTCCCTATTATCCTGTTTATTTGGCTTGAAGAGTTTTTACTTGTCTGTTTTTAGAGGATATGTTAATTGAGTGATCGGTATTCATTACAAATAATCTCGTCTGTTTTCTTGTTGAGAGTCTGCAGGCCCTTTTGCTCTTCTGTAAAAGCTAAGCAGACTGTATTAACTTCTGGTTTAATTTAAAAGAAAAACAAATGTGGAATTTGTTGGCGCACACCTTAAAGAATTGCATGTTTAATAATTGGAAGGCTCTCCATCAGATTTGTCTCCAGTCTGAATTAATAATGTTGCTGACTTATTGTTTTAGAAGACGGAGTCCTTGACCTGCTAGGTTGAAAGAATTGTGACTGCTCTGCTCCTTTGTGGGTCCTTTAGCTGTGCCATATCCCCTGTGAATAATTAGAGGTGTTTGAAGGTATTGCGGGAGAAGCCAATTTGTGTCTTTCACTTTGCATATTGTTGAAGCCTCATGAATTAGTCATAAGCAGGCCAAAAATTAACTTCTTCAGACACATATTTTGATGGGTCATGAGGGAGAATGTAAAGTGATCTGTAAAGTATTCTACTGATCCTCTAAGTATTAAATTATTATACCTACGGGCTAATTTCAGAGAGAAAAAAAAGCATTTTTCCCTCCTCCTTCAGTAACTGAGCAGCACATTTGGAAAAAAATAAATGTTTATTTTCTAGGATTGTTACGAGGACTCTAACATGAATAATTTTATGGTTTCCTGGAAACCAGTCTTGTACTCATTCTTGTTTTTAATTTTTTTTTGGTTATTTTTCTTTTTACTTTTAAAGTATTTGAATTCTAAATTCTTATAGTGACAGCTGATACTTCTTATTGATTTGGTGAAATGTGAAACCAAACAAGTAGCTCATCTTTCTCACTTTAGGCATCTGAAACACTGAATCAGAGTAATATGGATTTCAGTGCTTGCTTAAAATCTAGTTTTACATTAAAATTTTTTTCCATTGTCTTCTTTTTTTTTTTCCAGCTCATGAAACTGAAATTGCATTTTTCTGTGAAGAAGATTATAAGAACTACAAAGCTAATCCCATTTCATCCTGGTGAAAACCTCTTGGGGGCTCCCTTTTTGCATACCTGTATTAAGCTCTTTATTCCACTAGTGAGTTTTGGAAATTGACAAATAAACTTAAAAATTAATCTCAGGCTCTGCTATTTGAGTTGAAGTCTGTGGTGTTTTCTCTAACTGCAGGTCTGCCCTTTTTCTTTCTTTCTTGTTATAAAATAATATATATATTTATGAGAAAAACATTTTTTTAAGTGAAAGAAATACTTATTCAAAAATTGTCATGGAGGGGTGCTTGGGTGGCTCAGTCGGTTAAGCGTCTGCCTTCGGCTCAGGTCATGATCCTGGGGTCCTGGGATCCAGCCCCAAGTCTGGCTCCTTGCTCAGCGGGGAGTCTGCTTCTCCCTCTCCCTTTGCCCGACCCCCACCCCCTGTTCATGCTCTCTCTCTCTCAAATAAAATCTTAAAAAAAAATCATCATGGAATATTGGTTCTTTAGTCATAACTTATTTTTCTGAAATTAGGGGTTATTTGGGTGGCTTGCATGTTGGGTTCTTTAAAAGTTTGTTAAGACTAAGGTCATTCTGTTCATTTTGTATTTTTTTTTCAGTTTCTGTTAGAGCCACTATGCACTGTTACTGTCTGTAGTTAGCAAAGATTATGAGTCTCTGATGACCACCAGTGCCACCTTTTTGCTTACGATGATATGCTGCCATGCATGAATTGAATTGTGTATATTTTAGGGAGGTTTTCTGATGTAAGAGAGTTTCTTCTTTTCATATTTCAGCCTACACAAATAACATGGCTGAATTTTTTTTTTTTTCCTGAGCTGTGTTCCCTTACTTCAGGAACAGACTATAATAGAACCAAACTAATTTCTTTGGAGAGAGAAGGTAGCAGGATATTTGCACTTCTGGAAGAAAACTTCATTGAGAACAAGTCTAAGTCATGAAAGATACATTCTTTCAAAATAATATAATAGTCTCGATTCCTGATAATGGCTATCAGTACCTGAAGACTAGTGATTTCAAAGGGGCCTCTCAGCCAGCATGTATATCTAATCAGGACTTCTACGAGGTTAGTTGGCTCTAGAATTTTTCTAAAAACCTTTAAAATAGCTAGTAAGGCAAATGGGTTTCATTGTGGTAGAGGCTAACTTAAAAAAAAAAATCAGCTTTGAAGTCTGGTTAACATAATCAGAATATGCTTTTTTGCTTTGTTGAAAGGTGTGGTAGAGCCTTATTTAGGTCATATCCTGGAGTCCCAGGATCGAGTCCTGCATCGGGCTCCCTGCTGAACAGGGAGTCTGCTTCTCCCTCTGACCCTCCCCCCTCCCATGCTCTCTCTATCTCATTCTCTCTCTCAAATAAATAAAATATTAAAAAAAACCCAGAAAATATATTTTATTCATCATTTCATTCATTAAAAAAGGACCAATGACCCAGGCTTCTGGGGAGTTAACAAAGAATTAAATAAAAGATGCAGTTTTTGCCTTGGTGAGTGGGGAAAGATATTTAAGCAAGTAATCTTAATATAATGGCAGTGAGAACTGCTATGGGAGCATTGATGATGGGGTAGTTAATTCTATGTGGGATTAATTTTTATTTTAAAAGAAGTATCAGTTGAGCTTGTTCTTAAAAGGTTGAATAGGAATTTTTGCTTAGTAGAAGATAAGGGAGAGGCTTTTAGGAAAAGGGACCAGCATATGCAAATGCAAAGCACGGTGAGAGAGCTTTTGATTTTCTGTAGAAAGTACAGATTTCAATGTACTGGTGTGGAAAGCCCTTAGACCAGAGTGGAGGAAGAGAAGGTCAGGAGGGAGGTTGAGGTGGGCCTTATCCCTCATGCTAAGGAGTTGGACGTTTATCTAGTAGGTAGTGGGAAGCCAGTGGAAAGATTTAAACAGATAACATCACATGGCTAGATTTGTATTTTAGAAAGGGAGCTTTGGCAGCCATGTCCTGATGGCAGAAAGATAGTTGTCATGGACCAGATGAAGACTGGAGAGCCTGACCTAGGGCACGGCACAGGAGAAGGAGAGGGGAGGAGACCTTCGTGAGATAGTGTTAACATTTGCTCATGCATTACACAGCAAGCATCATGCTAGGTACTTTACATATATTATCTTATTTAATTTTGACCACAGCTTTTCAGTCTTGATAGTATCCTGTCTATTTATAGATCAAAAAATTGGGGCCCAGAGAGGTAAAGTAGTTCATCAAAGCAGGGCAATCATGTGCAGTGGGATTGGAGCTGGGTGTGTCTTGACGTCCTGACCTTGCCCACTCTGCCCTGTGGCCTCCCATTAGAGGCATGGGGTAGAGTCACTGGTGGGATCCTGGGACTTGGTGAATGCTGTGTGTAGAGGGTGTAGCAGAAGGAGGAGTGGGGGCTTCGGTGGATTCTGGCTCCCGTGAGTGGCCTGATGGTGACGACATTAACCCAAATTTAGTGAGTAGAACAGGTGAAAGCACACACTATTTGCTCATTTTGCACACATTCAGTTTACACACATTTTTCTTTTCTAAGAAAAATTAAATCTATCTTTACCTGTATATTTTCTTTTTTAACAAAAATGCAAAAATATGCATATATGACCCTTTGTTCTGGTGTGTACTTTCCTTGTTAGTTACATATAGTTATAAACACAGGTGTGAAAATCAAACAGACCTATATTATGACTAAAAAGGGCTATCACCAGGAATGGAAGATTGGTTCAAAAGTATAGAAAACCGATCAAAGTAATTCACAAAACCTACAGATTAAAGGAGAAAGAAATTACGCTTATTTCAATAGATGCCAAAAAAGCATTTGATGATCTGCAACCCCAGGCATGAATAAAAACTAAGACTAGAAGAGGATTTCCTTCACTTGACCAAAGTTACCCACAAAAACTGCTTAATGGAGAAGTGTTTTAAGCAAGTGTATTAGAGAAGATACAGGACCAAGATGACTGCTGTTGCCGGGACTATTCGGGATTGTCCCGCAGGCCTTATTATAGCCAATACGATAAAAAAAAAAAAAAAAAAAAAAGTCATAGGCATCGATACTGGAAAGGAGGAGGTAAACCATTTGCAGACAATAGGATTGCAAGAGGATCAACTGACACGTTATGAGAAGCAATGAGAGACTTCCAGAGTGCTTGATAACAAACCTACAGTGACATGTGCACAAAAGCTACAGAACTATTACTGGAGGATATAAGAGACCTAAACAAAGAGACCTCACGTGTTTATAGATGGAAGCTTTGGTATAATAAAGACATAGATTTATACCAAATCTGTAATTTAGTGTGACCTCCAACAAATCCCAAAGGGTTTATACTGGAATTTGACAAACTGATTGAAAGATTCATTTGGAAAAGTAAATGTACAAAAGGAGGCACGATCACTTGGAAAAGCAAGAAGGAAGGGGGATTGCCTGCCAGATGTAAAAATATATCTTAAAAGTGCAGGAATTAAAACAGCTGTGGAGTGATACAGAAATAGACCAAAAAAAAAAAATCAAAGGAATAGAATAGCAAACTAAGCTGACTAATGTATTTGGAAACCTATTATATAATAAAGGTATTTTTAAGAAAAAGATATTTAACCCCTGACTAGGCATTAAAAAAATGATTAAGGGTCCTTTTTCCTGCCATTCACTAAAATTTCAAATGGATTAAATAACTTGACATGAAAAATGAGATGATGAGCTTATTAGAAAAAAAGTGGATTATATTTATGACCATGGGATAAAGAAGTTCTCCCTAAAACACAAAATGCAAATACTCTAATTTGCTAAATTTGATGTGTCTGTATGAAAAACTAGCTCCCCCCCAAAAAATCAAAGGTTGAAGGACAAAGATGGGGAGAAACTACTTGCACTTATAAAGGAGACAAAGGATAAGTTTCCAGATTTTGTGAATGACTTTTATAATAAGTCTATGAGAAAAGGACAAACATGCAGCAGAAAAACACATTTTATAAAGAAGTAGTTCATAAAAAAGGAAATCTATATGGCTTATAAACGTGAAAAGATGCACATCCTGTTATTCAAGGAAATTCAGAACAATAGGATACATTTTCATTTGTCAAGTTGGCAAAGAGTAAAAAGGGCTTGGTAATAAGTATTGGCAGTGATGTGTGCCCACTGTACCAGTGGGAATATAAATTCGTATACAGTCACTTAGGCAAGCAATTTGGTTTGCTAGCTATTAAAATAAAAAATGTGCAGATTCCATTGATCCAGAGGTTCCACTTCTTAGACTCTGACCCAAAGAAACCCTCACACCTGCAGAAGGAGGCATTTTATAAGGGAATCCACCACAGTGTTATTTGCAATAGAAAAACACTGTACACATCCTAATTGAAGTCAGTAGCAGAATAGACAAACTACGGTGTATCTATGTTCTCAACTACTTAATCTGAAACAATGAAGGACGTATATCTTATTTGTGGACACGTGACCATCTTTGGGACATCCTGATGGATGGAATTGCAGAACTCAAACTGTGATGTCATTTGTTTAAAAGCACAAAATATCTATAGGGGCGCCTGGGTGGCTCAGTGGGTTAAGCGTCTGACTCTCACCCTCAGTTCAGGTTTTGAGCTCAGGGTCATGAGTTCAGGCGCCACATTGGGCTCCATGCTGGGCATGGAGCCTATTTAAAAAAAAAACTATAATGTATATATATATGTGTACATGTATATGAATATACACATCTATACATATGCACAAAAGCATATACACCAAATTGATCACATTGATTACCTCTGGGGAGGGGACTAGTACTGGGAGGTGACATGGGAAAAGCCTCTGTAATGTTTATAAGGAGAATGTATTTGTGTTAAGAATTAGTAAAAACTAATACCTGTATAGAAGTTAAGCAAGAAATAAAAACCCATTAGGCAATGGCCATTACCATTTTGGCATATTCTATTTAGGTTATTTCTTCTATATACGTTTTTCAGTGTTTCTGATCTTTCTGGTGTGTTTTAAGTTACACAGGTAACCTCGGCTTTCTAAAAACAACCAACTCTAAGGTAATGTGAAAATCCCCTTCCTCAAAGGTCACTCCTTTGCATAGACTGATATTCCATACCTTTTTCTGCACATATGTCATTATTTAAAAACGTGCGTTCTAAAGCATTATCCTTTGATGTTTAAA